CGCTGCCGCCGCCACCGCCCCGGAGAGCAGGGCCCCGCCGCGCATTGGCTGCGCGCGCCGCCCGTCAAAGCCGCGCCGTCTCATTGGCCCACTCGCCGCACACGCCGCCAGCCGGTTGGGCGGTGGCCGCGCCGGGCCCCGCCCCCCAGCCGAAGTTTTGGCGGACACCCGTGATGGGGGGGGAGCGGCGGCCACGCCCCGCCACGCCCTGACCGCCCCGCGCGCAATGGCGGCCGCGGCGTGAGGCGACGGGAGGCGCTGCCCGGCCCCGGCCCCGGCCCCGGCCCCGGCCCCGGCCCCGGCCCCGGCCCCGGCCCCTCGGAGCTCTGGCCTGGCCGAGGTTGCCGCGGTGGCCTCGGTGCCTGCGACGGGCCCAGCCAGCATCCCGCACACTCACTCCTTGTGCTCCCCTCAGCCCCGCCGAGAACGTGACACCTTTAGAACAGACAAAACACTCAAGTGTTCCCCAAATTACCCCTGGGAACAGCTATAAAAATTAGTTGAAAGACTGCAGGATCACCAGAAGTATATATCTTTTTATCCCGCTGCTGTATGTTGGCTATGCTGCTCTAAGCGTTCGCCTCAGCGTGGGTTTGCTTATCCTCATCACAACGGTACCAAACCCATGTGCAAATTAATTCAATTACACTTTCCACTCATAGGGCAGCAGCAGATTTAGAAAGACCAGCCAGTGCATTGCAATGTGGGTGTAAAGTTCAGTGGYGAATGGGACGTTTTTCTTCAGTGACAGAATAAAATAGAACTATATATATATAATACGTATTTTTCCCCTTTCTGTGCTATGTAACAACTGTGGTTTCACCATTGACTATATATGTGGAAAATTACTTCTTAAGTAGTTAGCAGCCAGCTATGGCCCTTAGAGCTTTGTGGCAACAAGGCTGTGGGAAGGAAAGGAACTAAAAAAATCAAGTTTTTCTTTTTTTGCCCTGGGGATAAATGTTCTGTGCRGGGGTCTGGGCTGTTGCAGGGACCTGTAAACTGATAAGGCTGAGAATCCCCGGGCAGGAGTTCAGAGGATCCGGTTCATGTGTCCTGTTGAGCACGTCGCTTTTGAGCGGCGAGGCACACGCCGTGTCCGACGCCTGTGCTTCGTCAGCGACTTGGTGTTTTAGAGCCTCTCGGGAAGAAATGAACACTGCCCTGAAAGTAAATCCATCTGGGCAACGTGGAGCCATCACAATACAGCAGAATCCGGGCAAAATATAAATATCAAAGAGTAGGTGGAATTAATCTGATCCTCAAAATTATCAGCTCTTTTTGTAACATTCTAAGATCCTTTGATAGTACTGTGAATTCCTCAAAATAAATAAAGGAATTGGGTTAGTATGCAATTCATCATGCGGTATTTACATATGGCACTAGCTTTTACTGTGTTGAGAACATCTGCTCATCCACGAAAACTACCCGTGAAAGAAAAACAAGATTATTCCTCTGCCTAGATTGGAAAGACCACGTCCTTGGCTTCTATTGTGTTACCCTTGTCCGTTAAAGTATCAACTACAATGTAGTATTTTTGTTGTCATTTTTTAAAATGTATTCTGCTCATTCTAGTTACTAACCAGTAACCAATATAATATCTAAAATGTCAGAACCATGGAAGTTTCTCCTGGTAAGACCAAGCCTCGGCACTATGGGAGCAGTCAGAGATGCTCTGGTGTTTCTAAAGGGACTTCTAACCCACCCGGCTGCTTCTCTTCCTCCGGAGACACAGCCAAATGGCTTAACAGCTCGGGGATTACCTCCCAGCCAAGGTCAGTGTGAGCACGGGGATACGTGCCATCCCCAGAGCTCATTAAACGCAACTGGGCTTATTTAGGATCAGTGCTTTGTACGCAAACTGCTACGGAACAGAAAAATGATGGGCTGCGGGCATGGGATGCCCTGTGTAGGTAGCATTTGCTTCTGAGCTGCAGGGGGACTGAGCAATGTAGGTGAAAAACAGCTGGCAACTGSAGGAAAGAAAAGAAAAATACGCTCTAAAGCTCGAGTGGAAAGAAACAGGAGCCTTCATTAGGCTTTCTCCAGTTTCTGTTAGTTACTATTCATTTAAATCACTTTTATACAGACTCCTCTGAGATCCTACTTCTTCGCCATTTATCAGATAATACAGAGGTAATTGAATCCCAAGGCTACAAATAACACAAAATGTCGTATTTGGACATTCAGGCCTTTTGAGACCAAAGCGATGGCAACAATGACAGCATGTCATGTATTTGTGCAGCGTCTTTCCTCGCGGCTCGAGGACGGAGCTCCGGGCCCTTCTGACGCGGGGGACGTGAAGACTTCCCGCCTTCCCATGTGCGGCCCGCTGTGTTCTGGCCTGTTTCTCCACGGGCCCGTGCACCGCGCGTCCTCACACCCCAAAGGTGGCCTGGACGGAATGGAGACATGCCCCATTGCCCAGGGTTTTCACCTGGTTCACARCCCAATGCAAAACATCAAGCTGAGAGCACTCACAGTCATCTGGGGAAGAGCCACTGTTCCCCCAGTCCCGTGCTATTAGTCTGTGACATTAATACAAGCACCACGCCTTAACGTCACGGCAGAATAACTACTGAGGAAATGAAGAGGATAAAATAATCTCTGAGTCCAAAGTACAGAGATGGCCATCTGGGGGCCTGAATTACACTTACGTGTTTCCTGGCATTTCATTCGATGAATCTGCAGGAATTCTCTCATGTTTATTCAGCTTAAATATGTGAAATTGGATAAAATTTCTAGGCCTAAATTAGTGTTTAATTCAGTCTTATTCTGGGCTCACCAACAGGATGACTGTAGGTTTGTTTGGGGTTCATCTGGGAGGGCTGAGCAAGGAGGAGAAGCACAAAGAAATAAGTTTAGTATTTTAAAATCCAAAGTATATGCTTGGTATAATAGTATGCTCACTCCCTAGCAAACTGCGTGAGAAGAGGTTTCTGTTCCGAGGCAGCGACTTCAGTCCTCCTAATCTCAACCAGACTGCTGCTATTCGATGGTGGTAGCGCATTCAGCGCTGCGAAGGAACGTGCGCCATCCTCGGATCGGAGAGTCTGCGGGCAAACTTTAACCAAGAGTCAACAGCAGAGATTTGCATAGTGCCTGTAAACTGGTTCTAAGAATAACAGTGGAAGCTGCTGACTTCTTTTGAAAATCTGTCCACATCCTGGCAATGGGTGGCTGCAAATCTCTGCTTTTGCTTCCCCTATTTTGCCCTTTCGCCCCCTTTCCAGAAGCCCTGAGCAGGGAGCAGGAGGCAGGGAGACGTATTGCAGTAATAAAAYGCTCTCCTCTCGTGCTCTGCCAAGCAGTTGTGCAGGAAGTTGCACAGTTTTGTGTCCACGTTGCATGTTTTTTTGTTAATGGAAGCGTTTTCCTATGGTTTATGTTAAAGTAGATCCAAATTTGAGAGAGASAAATGAACTTCCAAAGCCCTAGTTCAAAAATAAGCTAGCTTTACAACAATATTTAAATACAATAGGTAAGCTGTCTATGCTCTGAGTCACTCCTGATAATTCCACGTGTGAATGCGTATCTGAAACAAGACTGCCCCATTTCTGTTTATCTTCATCCACGGGATAAGGAATTCTTATTCCAGAGTCAAAATGCCCACATATGGAGTTAAAAGAGAGAGGCAGGGGGGTGACTCCATGGCAGAGCAGCCTTATCGCAGGTGAAACTGCTCCGTCTGCTCAGCACCCAGATAAGCGAAAGGAAGCGATAAGACAAATTGCCGAGTGACTCAGGCCAAAGGTAGGGCCGGAGCTGCCGCCGTCCTGCCCGCGGCTTCCTCAGCCCCGCTGGAGTCATCCCCGTCCTGCCGCCCCGCAGCGAGCCGGGCACGGGCATGGACATGGGCACGGATACGGGCACAGCCGCGGGCATGGACACGCACATCGGCACGGTCATGCTCGCTTTGGGAAATGCAGCTTCGTCTCACTCTCCGTCTCTTCGTCTCTCCGTCTCTTCGTCTCTCTATCGCAAAGCAATACAGCACAGACAGGTTTCATTCTTCAAGAAATAATAGCAGTTGCTAGCAGGGGTAAAAAATAAAATATAAAGTGAAATAAAGTGAAATAAAGTGAAATAAAGTGAAATAAAGTGAAATAAAGTGAAATAAAGTGAAATAAAATAAAATAAAATAAAATAAAATAAAATAAAATAAAATAAAATAAAATAAAATAAAATAAAAATAAAATAAAATAAAATAAAATAAAATAAAATTTTATAACAACAACAAGGTGGCAAATGCACCGAAGGAGGCTCAGGATTTGAAGCAGAATGGTATTTCCAAGAAACGTCCTGCCAGAGATCCTATTGCCACTGTAAAAATAGCCCAGGCTGCCAGGACTCGTCACACGTGATCTTGCTTGCTCTGGTGGCACAATGCCACTTTATTTTTCATTATAAAGACGGTGCTCAATCACAGGCCTATATCCTGCTCACAGACATGAAGCTTATAATCAAAGTCACCATACATGCCTATAATCTGCCAAAATTTCAAGTCTTTCTCTATTTTGCTCATAAATACCAACCTCTTTCATTTGCAACAGTAACAGCTTAAATAAAAGAGGCAGAGATTAGAATTTTAGATAAGCCTAAGACATGAAGAAAGAGCACTTATCTGTTAGGATGTGCAGCAGTCAGTTTACATGTAGGTGTAATGAAACAGCTTGTTCAACCATAAATGTAATCTTGATAGCAGTTGC